GGAGTTAATTAGGCTTTCAAAAATTCAATTTCAATACAATTACTATAAGAAGGAAAAAAAACCCTACTTCAAAAGGTTCTTTTACCAAACTAATATAGTTTGTTAAAAGTCTTGAACATATAGCATTCATAAGAAAAATTTTACGGAAATAATATGCTTTTATATAACCATGAATGAGATTATCGATTGTGATAAACAATCATAAATGAGAATATTATTTGGATTTAAAACAATTAATGAAAAGCACGATTATGTTATCAACTAAAATCTTAAACTATCCTAACTCAAAATTTATCCCTAAATCACATACTATACTACCATAACTCCAAATTAACCCCAAATCAGGCCCTAAAATACCATAACTCTAAGTTAACTATAAATAAAACCCACCCATTATCATAAACTTAAATTAACCCTGAACAAAACCTCTAATCTCAATTTCCAAACCCTAAAATCCAATTCTAACCATAAACATTAACCCTAACCTTAAGTCTGAAATTATAAAATTCAAAACCAAAACTAGAAACTTGTCATTTGAAGGCTTTAAACCTTAAATTCTAAAATCACAAACCCCGAACCTATAATCCCTAACCTTAAACTTCAAATTCTAAAATCCTAAATTCTAATATCTAAACCCCATGCCATTCTAATATCCAAACCCCAAGCCTATAAATTTTAAACTTAAACCTCAAATGAGTGTAATTCAAAATCCTAAACATCAAATTCTAAAATCCTGAATTTTAACATCTAAACCCTAAACCTATAAATCCTGAACTTTAACCCCAAAAAAGTGTAATTCAAAACCTCAAACCCATATTACAATATGATGATCAATAAAGTCAAGGATGTAAGAGGAAATTCAATAAGAAATTCAGTAATTGATGTTGTTTTTGTTCATTAATTATAATAGAAATTTGGTGTAATATTTAATATATTTTTATTTTTTTATTCATTAATTATAATAGTAATTCATGTAATATTTTTTTATTTTTTAATTATAAAGATAATTGATGTTGGCAATAACAAAATATAAAAATGTATCTTTTTAACCTATAAATGCCTTATTTGAAATTATAACAACTTATTCACCATGTTCACATGTTCGTCTATAAATTAACAATTTAAACTCTACTAATCCAATTTAAATAAGAAAATTCATAATGTGTAAGATAGTATTAAAAACAACCTAATAATTAGCCAAAATAGTATTATGAATATAATAAAAAAAAGAACTTATAACTAAATTTTACACAACAAAATTCTTCTCTCAACAAATATTTGAGTTTATTTATGTCTGCAATGACGAGTGGAAGGGCCAGCCTCCACATATCTATAAGGTTTTAACCTCCAAGGCAATATCATCCATATATAATATCTTTTTTAATAGCTCAGGTATAGTGCAACATATCTCAAATAAAAAATGATGCATGATAATAATTAAGTCCATCATCATTTTTGAGATCATGAAGATCAATCATGACATGTTGACCATCATGTAACAACTGACCTATCTAATATTAAGAAAAAATAATTATAAATCCATAAATAAAATGTTTTGGTTATTATATAGCATTTTGAATATGACATGTATATGGTCATACTTTATCTCCTTGTGTGAAGGAACTTATGTTGGATTTAGTGTAATGGTTCAACATGTTATACCCATGAACTAGTCCATGTATTCCTTATTAGAAATTAAATGATGAACCTCTCTAAAGATCTCATCTCATATCAATATGTACTAAAGATGGTGGATCGTCTAATTATAATCCGCATGCATACTTGAATGATCGATGACGTGCATCTTATTGGTTGTAAATGTGTCATATAAGATGTGTTGCTGAAAGCTAAATTATCACATCACACGATTTGAAAAATACATTTTAATAAGTTTTAAAAACATAAAAGGGACTTCGTTGTTCATAAATACATGGTTGTTATGCATATAACAAGAATAACTAACAGATTGTCTTCTAAATAAGTATTTCACACAACCTATTTCAACATCAATAATATAATTATTCTTAATATTTTTCAACATCAATAATGCAATTATTTTCTAATATCAACTTATTTTAACATAAAAAATGAAATTTATTCCAACATTATCAAACAACAACAATGCAATTATTTCCCAAAGTTTTCCAACATCAACCTATTTCACATAAACAAAGTAATTTATCATAAAAATTTTAAACATCAACCTATTTTAACATCGACAATACAATTTATCCCAACAACTTTCACAACAACCAACTTTAACATCAACAATGTCATTTATCTTATTAGAGTGTTGTCTATATAACTACTATGATAAAATGATAGAATATAGGTTGTATTATTTTCAAAGTACATACTCTCACACCATCTAATAATAAGGAACCGATGAACTTATTAATGTTACCATGAAAATTATTTTTAATTTAAGTATTACATGTTAAACAACATATTAAGTATATCATAATGGAAGTTTTAGCTCCGCCTCTAAAACTTGAATAGACATATCAGATTTTATCTTAATTTGGTGACACTCCAAGTGGAAATGATTTCATGACCATAGTTGTATCACACAAAAAAATAGGGATTAATAACTAACTCAAACATTTCTAGAAAATACAAATACAAAAAACTTTGTAGATTGTTTAACTTGTAAAAGAAACAAACATCCTCCAACTTATTTTGTTTTTTCTAAGCTTGCTTGACATAGGTAGATATACAAATATGAAATGATGCCTAAACCCTGACTATATAGTTGAATAGAGTCAAATTTCTCCATCGGTGGCAAGTAGAACAAGGGCACATATGTCCCACTAAGATCCATGAAGAGTATGTTGCCATATAAAATATGTAGGCTTTAACATACTTGCATAATATAATAAAGGCTTAAAATCCACATAAGATCAATTAATATGTAAATTGCACTATTAGTCCATATTAATATACCATAGTAGGATCTCATCATCAAAATAAAAAAATAATTCAGAGAAATTATTCTAAAGTCATCTCATATATAAAGTGTTTCCCTTAAATATTTCAAGAGGCATTGCTCATCCAAACACAAGCTCATATAGAGTGATCTTATTTTGCATACCCATGATAGTAAATGTTTGCCTATTTATAGGTAAGGCAAACAAAACAATAATAACCTATAATATAAGCATCATCTCACCTACTTAGAAATGTAAGGTATGAGTCTATCATCTCTAACTTTCAATAAATACATTAAACAAGTCATGATCTATCTTGATATGCTTCAGAAAAATAATTTAATACAAACTCGTTTCCATGATGACCAGATCACAAGATCTAGAAGCAACGTTAACTTATGAAACAGATAATACATCTTACCCATTTTCTACAAAATAAATAAAAAAATTAGATGTATTAACATGAGTTATAGGATATCAAATGAATATGTTATTATAATTAGCAAAATATTTTTAATTTGTTGTGATATAATTCTATATGGCCTCTAATTTATGTAATTCCTGTAATTGTAGATCAAGAAGGTTAGCTGGATCAAGAGTTATCTACTTGTAGATGAACAAGCACCATGTTTACATGACATCTTAACCAATAATACCTATAAAACAAATAATTTTAAATATAATATAATAAAATACAAAATCAAATTTGATACATGACATCATATTTGAAGCATTAACACATAATAATGTAATATATTAACTTGTAATAAGTAGATACATATTTTGTCTATATCCACAACATTTTTTTTTATAAAATATGCCATTTTTATATTGAAAATACTCATCCCTTATGTAAATTTTGTTATATAAGTAAGTAGATTTTTATTGACCTTAATTAATTTTCTATCTAGATAGCAAAAATAATAATTTGAAGAATGACGTTATTATTTGCACACATCAAAGATTTTGCTTTATGATAACATTCATAGAAAGAATGTGACATGATATCTTATAGAATCATAATGATGAAAGTTTTGATAAATAAATTTTTTATAAAAAAAGAATTAAATTAATTTGAATTTTGATTTTTATTTAATTATAGATATTAACAAAGAAAAAGATAATGTTATAAACATAGTAAGATTTGAGGTTTGCTGAGAAGCTAACCCTCTCAAGTTATATATATATATATGTTTGAACTTTATTTATTTTTATTTTTATTTTTATTAATTTTAATTTGTTAAATGAAAGATAAGGAGTTTTTTGAAATAAAAGTAAGATTTTCATTTTGAAATTGGGATAATAATGAATTTTTTTTATGATTTTAAAGTGTTAATATGAAGTAATTTATAAAAAAATTATTTTAATATATTTTTAAATAAAAAATACATTTAAAATACATTTTATATCATATTATATTATCTAACAGTGTTTCATCAACTAATAAATATCTTGCATGATAATGAGGTGCATTGAGGTTGTACCGGCATTTTCCTATTAAAAAATTAAAAATAATATTTTTATTTTGTTGTTAATTTAAGAAGGCTAAAGGTTTTAATTTTTTTAGTTAACAATTATTTTTTTTATTTTTTATTACTTTCATATGTTAATTTTAAAAATAATTTTTTTAAAATACAAAAATATTTTAATATAAAAAATAATTGACGATCGTATTTCAGCCAAGCTTCAGTTCATCAGAAAATGATCACAAATTTTGACTTTTTATGAAAAATTATATTTTTAATATAATAATATTAAAAATATCTTTTTTAAAATATAATTTCTACGGAAGAAAGACTACCGTCGTATCTCACTCCATCTCTCTTCCCTTTCCTCTGAAGCAAAGCCGAGCAACACCAACGAAGTGTAGAAACTATAAACTACAAAAGGAGGATATTTATAAAACCAGAGTAGGGAGAAGAAGATCGAGAAGAAAACTGAGCTTCTTTTTCTTCTTTTTTTTTTTTTTTTTTTTTTTTTTTTTTTTTTTTTTTTTTTTTTTTTTTTTTTTTTTTTTTTTTTTTTTTTTTTTTTTTTTTTTTTTTTTTTTTTTTTTTTTTTTTTTTTTTTTTTTTTTTTTTTTTTTTTTTTTTTTTTTTTTTTTTTTTAATCAAAATAGCTACAAAAGAAAAGAGAAGAGAAAAAGAATGCCACCCAACAGTAATCTCAGTAGTGGTGAGAACCCAACAACAAGAGGACCTCGGCCACAACCACCGCCTTCAAACCAAAACCACCACCTGTGCTACCCAACAACAACAAGAACAACGTCGTCGTCGTCGTCCTCACCCTCCTTCAGAGGCTGCTGTTGCTGCCTCTTCCTCCTCTTCTCCCTCCTTGCCCTCCTAATTCTAGCCGTTTTCCTCGTCATAATGCTGGCGGTCAAACCCAAAAAACCCCAGTTCGATCTCCAACAGGTTGGAGTCCAGTACATGGGCATATCCGCAACCAATCCATCCGCCTCTCTGGACCCCACAAGCACCACCACACCAGCCTCTGCCTCTCTTTCTTTAACCATTAACATGCTGTTCACCGCTGTTAACCCAAATAAGGTAGGGATCAGGTACGGGGAGTCCAGTTTTACTGTCATGTACAGTGGGATTCCTTTGGGGAAGGCTTTAGTGCCTGGGTTTTATCAGGAAGCTCACAGTCAGAGACAGGTGAAGGCCACCATATCCGTTGATCGATATAGCTTGATGCAAGCTTATGCTTCTGATTTGATCAGAGATGCCTCCTTGAATGATCGTGTGGAGCTCAGAGTTCTCGGTCAAGTCGGTGCTAAGATCCGCGTTCTCAACTTCGATTCCCCTGGTGTTCAGGTCAGTCCATTTTTTATTATTAATATTTATATACCCAAAAAAAAAAACTCCCCTCGTTTATGCATGGGTATATGAGTAATTGCCTTTTTTTTTTTCTTTTTAACATTGCCTGATCGCCTCTTTTTTTTTTTTCTTTTTAACATTGCCTGAAATAAAAAGATTGCCTGAGTATTTTTGGTTATTGAATTTTCTTAGCATTACATGAAATAATTTTTTTTTTTAAAAATAGTAATCACCTGAGCTATCCATTCCTTTATTATTATTATTATTTTTAAATTCGTTACCCAAATTGATTAAGATTATTGGGAGAATTCAGGTCTTTTGGATGGTTGTAAGCTTAAAGCATGTGTGTTATGTTATTGTGATAGGTTTTTTTATATTGTGGTTTAAAAAAATAGTTGAATGTTTTTTTTATAAATTATAGTTTTTTTAATTGAAATTTTAAGATAAAGTTCGAGTGAAGTGTAATGTGTATTTATTAATTAAATACTTTAAAATATATAGCTGAAATAAAATGTAGCATGCATCATATAAATAAACAATGTCTAACTAAGATAATCAACTCGATTCATATAAAGATAAGATGTTTCTATTATTTATTTATGTGAATGTGTTTAGATATAGTATGCTGACATTATTAATTCATCTTGTGGACATTTTAGTCAGAATCCATAGGCAATCGACGACATGTATCCCATAACACTTAGTGATGAGATAATTTTTTGGGCTATATATATATATATATATATATATTTGTTTTGGAAGAGCCTAAACCAATATAAAAAGAAATAGTGTAATGGTGTTAATCGAATTTGATGAACTGTCATATCTATTTCTTTATATATATATATATATATTTTGGAAGAGCCTAAACCAATATAAAAAAAAAATAGTGTAACAGTGTTAATCAAATTTGATGAACTATCATATCTATTTGTTTTAAGTTGGGCTACATGTTAAACTTAATTAATTAAAATCTATGTTAAGACCATATGATTCTATCTTAAGATTATTAATTAATGATATTTTGATGTTTGAAATAATCATTTCTCAATATCTAGGTATGTAAAAAGTAAGAAATAATGATCTTATTATATATATATATATATATATATATATTTGTATAAAAGATTTTTCAAGAACCTGCTATATTTTTATTTTATTAATGAACGTGTAATAGATTTTTTTTATTTATTAATGTCATTTAAAGAAAATGACTCGTTGCTCCTTCACTCCATCAAAACAACAAGTTTGAGGGAATATTAATACTTTCTGAATCATTTAGGTAAAATGTTCACTTTTTTCTATTCTCGAAACTTATATATCTTAGTTCTTAGAATATTAATCACACAAAAATAAAAACAAACAATCTTATTTTTGGAATTTAAGGTTATTTTTTTATTCATTAATATTTTACTTGAAGTTGTTAATTTGATTATTGGAGAGTTTTTAAATCTTACTAACTAGTATTGTTTTATATTTTATGGGCTAAAAAGAGAGAAATATTGACATTAATATTTGATTAGTCACAGTTCAAATATCAAATAACTTTATTTTTAAACATAGAGGTTTTGGGATATCATAACTATTATTGATGTCATTAAACAATACCCCAATGGCATAATATTATGACTAATAATTAACTTTCTAGTTTTTAGAGGGAAATTTTATAAAAATTATGGAAGTTTAAAGGATAGTTTATAACTCTAGAGGAGGATGGCGCTATCTTTAAGCTCTGCCTTTATTGCCAAAGCAATTTAAAGGATCATTCAATAATTGTTTGTCCGTTGCTAGTGCGTGCTTTTTAATGGCTTCGGAAACTACATGCGTACTTGGATGCTTCGATGTATATATGTTAGTGTCTTTGCATTCTATATCATACAAAACACTAAAGGGTATGTTTATTTTTCATTCTTTCACATTTTATGTAGATTTATTGTTTAAAATTATGCTTTGTTTTCTTCAATTTGGTCTTCAAATTGTTTTTATGCAATTGCATCATTTTAGGCCAAATTCAAAGATAATTAAGTTAAATTTGTAGACTGAGAACAAAATTAAAAGATATAAAATCAAAGTAGAAAAAATACCATAAATGAATGATGATTTTAAAATTCACACAAAAAGTTTAATTCAGTCCTCCTACTTTAAATATTATACATATTTGGTCCCCTAATATTTTATCAATTCAATTTTGGTACTTTATTTTTAAACATAGAGGTTTTGGGATATCATAACTATTATTGATGTCATTAAACAATACCCCAATGGCATAATATTATGACTAATAATTAACTTTCTAGTTTTTAGAGGGAAATTTTATAAAAATTATGGAAGTTTAAAGGATAGTTTATAACTCTAGAGGAGGATGGCGCTATCTTTAAGCTCTGCCTTTATTGCCAAAGCAATTTAAAGGATCATTCAATAATTCTTGGTCCGTTGCTAGTGCGTGCTTTTTAATGGCTTCGGAAACTACATGCGTGCTTGGATGCTTCGATGTATATATGTTAGTGTCTTTGCATTCTATATCATACAAAACACTAAAGGGTATGTTTATTTTTCATTCTTTCACATTTTATGTAGATTTATTGTTTAAAATTATGCTTTGTTTTCTTCAATTTGATCTTCAAATTGTTTTTATGCAATTGCATCATTTTAGGCCAAATTCAAAGATAATTAAGTTAAATTTGTAGACTGAGAACAAAATTAAAAGATATAAAATCAAATACCATAAATGAATGATGATTTTAAAGTTCACACAAAAAGTTTAATTCAGTCCTATTACTTTAAATATTATACATATTTGATCTCCTAATATTTTATCAATTCAATTTTGGTATAAAAATTTATTTTTATTATTTTTTAGTCTATGATTTGAGAGAGGAGAGAAAGAGGCTGTTAAATTTAAGCGGTAAAAAGAAAAAAATATCGTTGACATCGATTTCAATCACCGAAACGGTGGAGCTTTACGTTAAATAATTTTATTTGATGAGAAAAGTTTGTATTAAGTATTTTATTTACTTTGAAAGTTCCAAAAAAACATATATGAGCTCTAGAAAATTTTTGGTTTCAAGCTGATTTTAGATTTTGGGATGACTTTTTAGGTTTTTTTCTAGGTGTTTTAGGCCAAAAAAGAATTGAAATGAGTTTTTAAATAAAAAAAAAACATTTAGCTCTAATTCTATAGCCACCATAGTGACTAACTGACATTTGAGCAAAATTAAACGAAATATTATTAGCCTCAGCAAGCAATATGTTGTTCAATTTATTTTTTTTTCAAAAAATATCATATTGTCTACCCTAGCTATAATAAAAAGAAATAAGGGTCCAAACATGCGGGTCCTAATGAAATGGGACAGGATAATGCTTGATTTTTTCACCTTTTTTTCTATTTTTTTAAGATAATGTTTTTTTTTATTTAAATTAATATCTTTTCTCTTTCTTATTTAACCTTTATTGGATAAAGACTTTTTCAATGGTGTTATGTGTATTTAGATTTTTAAAGGATTATTATAATTAATCTATACTTTTATTCTTTTGTACAAATAAACTTCATTTTTGAAATTTTTTTTTTCAAATAATATTTCTAATATGTGAAGCCTTATGTAATATTTTTTTCTTTTCTTTTATTAAATTAATTTTGTATTTTTTTCTTTTTTTTATTAAATTAATTTAATGTATGCGTCTATTTCTATTATCTTTTTGATTGAATAAAAAATTATTTTAATAAAAAAATTAGCCAACATCTTCAATAAATATTTCATTTTGCAAGATTAAATTTCTTGATATGCAATTGTTTTTTGATTTTTATAGTTTTATTTTTAATTATTGTTGATTTTTTTATTTATTAACATATATATTTCTTGATTAACTTAATTACATGTATGCATAAATTTTTTTTTCACTTAGAATTTTTTAAACTACAAAAACAAGTCAAAAGAACCTATTTATATGATTTTTTATATATATATAAAAAATCCGTGTCAAAGCTTGAATCATGCTATTACTTGTGTTGTTACTTGATCCGCATGACAAGGTGTTTTAAAAATCAAGAGGTACCTAGATTCTTTATGGTAGCAATGCTATTTAAAAAAAAAAAAAAAAAGACAATTGGAAAAAAGAAGGGTACATATATTGTTTTTAAATAACAAAAATCTCATTATAAAAATATCTTAAAAACATATTTATTTTTATTTGTTTCCATTTATTATTATATTTATTATGTAGCCAAAGCTGGTTTAAGATGAACAAACGTTTTTGATAAAATTATGAATAAGATCTTTTAAAATATTTAAGAAATATTTTTATTTTTATTTTTTATGTGTATTTGACAAGTTTGGTATTGCTTCAATCTTCATTTATCCATAGTTAACTTCATGCACACGGGTGAAATAAATTACTTATAGGTTTCCTTTACAACATAGTTCATGTTTAACTGTGGATATCACCTCCCAGCTACAATTAGCATGTGAACTGGTAATGGTTGGCTGGAATGCTTTAGGGTCCCTTTTTCTTATCGTTTTCGAGGTATGCTTTGTGAAGAGCTCTATTATAGTGGGGCATGTCAGGCAGCAGTCACATCGTCTACGTCCTCGGTTATAGTGAAACTACTGTTGCTTGTGCTTTTGCGTTTGCTGTGGGGTATAATTACCGCGTGGATGTGTCTTGTCTGGCTTGAATTTCTGGGTTTCATTTTGGTTTTATTATACATGTCTCTTTGAAATTTCAAGCTTGGCTTTTTGACAAAATGAATAAAGGCAACAGTCCTTCATGCATTGCTAGCCTCGATCATCTTTTCCCACATCATGGTCCTGAGGTATTGGTTTTGTTCTCCATTTTTATAATCCCTTTTTGCCGGTGGCATATTGTTCTGTTCGCCTCATTCATTAAACTCCGCGGCTGATTCAGGGTGGCCGACGAAGAACTCTGGACTTAGTCAAAATCCAATTTGATTTTTTTAGAAAAAAAGTTTTAATGTTTTCTTGTTTTGATTATCCCATTTTTTTTAATGTTTTCTTGTTTTGATTATCCCACGTTTTAGTAACTTTCATCAAACAAGGTGAAGATCTAATTTGAGTTGGAATGTGCAGGTATCAGTGGATTGTGCAATAGTGATAAGTCCAAGAAAACAGTCTCTTACTTACAAGCAGTGTGGATTTGATGGACTGAATGTTTGAAGGGCCACAAAAAAATCTATTTTTTCTTTCATTTTGTCTCGCAATAAACAAAGAACAGAGAGAGAGAGGAGAAGAGGAAAAGGGGGAACGCTACACTTGAGAAAATGGGAGACCAAAAGGTTTTCCCAAGATTTTGCTGAATCTTATAAGGTATTATTTTTGCTTCATTGTGAAGGAAAGACAAAGATACTCGCTGTGTGTTGAGTGCCAAAACAGTCGCCCTATTCGCACCCTCTCTTCCCCCCTGTGCTATGGTGGCCGATCAAGCACTGGACATCCTCGCAGTTAAACTGTGTCAGGACTCCACACGTAGATGTGACACAGCACATTTCCGGCACCATTAATTGCTGCCCTAATTGCCTGGCTTTATCTATCAATTCCTAGTTGAGTGGTGTGGTCCCATTTTCATCCACTGTGTAAATTAATGTCCAACTAAGGTAGTGATAGGATGTTATTTGATTATTAGTATCAATTGAGTCAATTTTATAGATATAAAGTGTTGTTTAACAAGTTATTAAAATATGGATAATTTTAAATAATTAAAACATATACAAGGATAAAATGGCACTAATTTGTTTTAAGAAAAAGAAATGGCTTGTGTGTGCATTACATTAGATTGCTGGCACGCTTCATGAAACAAAAATTTATTCTTAATTTCTTAATGTAAAAATAATGTTTGGTTGCTTTTATTATAATTTAGGTTATATACCTGATTGAATTTAATAAGTTAGTTTATTCAATCATGTAATTAAATTGTTGGCTAATATATCTTGTAGTCAATTAGCTAGTTATACGTGATACTGATTTTTTCATATAAAATATATTTATTATTAATAAAGATTTTTTTATTTTTAATATTCATTTATATTTAATTAATTAATGAATGTAATATTTAATTAATGAGTTTAGAGTAAAGATAAAGTTCAAAGGACAAAAATATTTTACAAAAAAAATTATAAAGTTGTTATAATTATAAAATTCTTATTACATCAAAAAGTATTGTTCTTAAAAGGTTCCTGGTCAGTATTATATTAAAATTAGATATTAATTAAAGTTCTTGATACATATATATATATATTCCTGGTCAGTATTATATTAAAATTAGATATTAATTAAAGTTCTTGATATATATATATATGTATATATATACTAATAAACTGAAGTATAAGAGATACATAAAACTAATATGTATGTGATTGTCAAATAACATGTCTATTGAATTGACCTGTAAGAGAATTTTATATAGAGAAATCGTCCATGTTTATGGAAAGACTCTCATGATAGTTTTGCAAGTGATTTTTAAACTTGATATCACTACGTTATCTTATATATGAAATGTTATGCTTTGAACATAATCACATGTTGTTCTAATTAAGGGTAACAAATAAGAAAATATTAGGTATAACATAAATTATATGAAGGTATTTGAGTAAACAATAGAGAATTCATCACCCTAAATGAATTAGAGAAAACAATTTATTTATTCTCAAATAGTATTGATTGTGAAAATTCTTGGACAAGGTGAAATGAGTTTTGAAAAGAGTTATAGGATCTTATTCAAAGTGTCAATGTGTAACAACCTGACCCAACCTGTTGTATATCATTCGCTTTGGGCCTTCCGCCCTCATGATTTTGTTCCGGTGACGCGAGCTCATCAATAAGCCTGATGCCTCAAAATGCATACAATAGGTCAGCGACTAACACTATTAATAAAGCCAATAGCTAACTACTTACGCGCCGATATGGGATTTTACAGTCCACCCTCCTTAAAATCTGAGATATACAGCTCCAGATATAATCCAATTACCGAACAGTGTTCTGATTTGGATTGCACCGACATCTCTTTTCTAAGTTTGACCATCTCTTTGTCCTTTCAATTTCAGTTCTTAAATTCATCAATCAATCCTTTCATTTATGTGATAGGCTTGTATTTAAAATAAATATTTACCACAAATTAAAGGTATCTTATATTATTAGATACGTTATTATAAAACATGCTTTAGTTAAGAAGTTATTGATACTTCGAGTGCAAAATGATGATATAAAACCTTGATAAAAATATACTTTTAAGTACTAATCACTTTTATTAAACAATACAAAAATAACATGAATATTTCTACTAACAAATTTAGTTTGTCTCTTTTAAAAAAGAAAGACAAGAAGACTATACGTGAACATGCTCAATGCTCGATAATATAGAGATTTAGCCACCTAAATATATCCCTCACTTTTAGATAAAGATATGGTCACTTTGTTTACTAATATCCTCAAAGCTCCTTATTATAAGCATGTATTGGATAACTCAGCTCAATAGTTTACAAATGTTATTATAGTGGCTGAGCGTATTAAACAAAGAATACAAAGTGGAAGAATCACTACACCATAGAGAAAAAAGGTTTTAAAGAAAAAAAATGTTAATAATGTTAAGGGTGGGTATAAAGGTAATAATAAAAATTTCCAAAATTACAACACTTAAACCCCTTCATCCCAAATAGCCAATATCAACTTTAACTCACATTTTCCTATAAAAAACTTGAAACATAAAATAACTTAACTAATAACCAAATTATGAATCGACCATAAGAAACTACAAAAGAACCCAAGAACAATTACCCCCACTACCTTTAATTTTGAGTGAAGTGTATGAGAAGTTACTAAGTATTGGAAAAATAGCTTTAATTCCTATCACACAACTATAACCATTCAATCCTAATTGGTAAAAACTAGAGCTCAATTCTGAATATCATACGAGCATATCTGGGCATAATATTGAACTTTTCATATGTTTTAAAAAAAGCTTTTATAATTGATCAAAACGGGATGAATAACATTTGATGAGGCTTATAATATAAATACAAATTCTCTACCTAATCATGCTATATGTAATGGAACTGTAAATATATTAGAGACTAAAGGCCTAAAGACTTGAAAGTGTCTCTGAATGGGATTTATAAAATGCTCGTAAGAGCTAGATATAAAAAAAGTAGTTGTGTGAATAACTGATAAATAATATTTTTTGTAAGTATCACAAAAAAAAGGTCATGTGATTGATCAATATGAAGATTTCCACAATAAAGTGATACATATGCTAACTTAAGGTTATGAGAATCGAAGAGGTAACAAGCAAGGAGATATTTATAGTTGATAAACATAAAAAGAATATAAAAGTTTAATAGTTATAGTTTACTATTAATAGGTTGCTCATATTCATTTTGTCCAAACCCAAAGTAACGAGTGATGGGAGATATAGTGTCTTGCCATATAAGTATGGGTATTTCTTCCAAAGCTCACATTCAACACGTGTTTTTCAAGCAAACATTGGAGACTTGACTCGTAGTGAAAGGTGTTTTACACCTGAGGAGCTTGAAAAGCAAAGAAAAGCTAAGGTTAAAGAGGTAGTTAACTTGTCTGAGGAAATAAATAAACCTATAATTGAATAAGAAACTAATGAATTCCTGAGATTGATAAAACACAATGAGTATAATGTTGTTGAGCAACTCAAAGGAACTCATACTAGGATATCTATGTTATATTTGATATTCATCTATGAACCACACCGAACAACTTTATAAAAAATGATAAACGAGGCATATGTCTTAAGATACAAGTCACAAGACCATAAAGCACTTGGCAAGCAGAATTCAAGCATTAAATTATATGTATTTTGCTGAAGATGAGTTAGACCTCGAGGGTATTAAACACAATTCACTGTTATATTCTTCTCATACCAAGTTATCGACTCAACAAGTTTCACAACTTGCAAACAATAATTTTAAAATTTATCCCATTATCCTAGATTTCCTTAACTTGGCCATAAGATCAAGTTCCTATTTTTCTTCAATATTCGCTCAGTAGAACAATTCTTATAATATTCAATATTTATGAAAAATAATATTACAATTAATTTAGTTATAACATGATTCAAGAAACATGTTCTTATACATAATAAAAGGATATCTAAAGTAAAGTGCAACTAAATTATATCATATTTTAAAGAGACAATCTCTTTAAATACTTCATTGATAATTAGATTAGATAAGTAATTATCATTTTATATACAAAAATATTTGTTCTTCCAAATACATCATTCGATTAGACAAAAGATACAAAGTCATTAAACTACAACTCGGCTCAGTGCTGCGAGGTACCTGAAAAGTTATTATATATTTTAGACATAATCATTTTTATACTCAAAGATAATTAAACATTATGACCTATGTATATATGTATTCGTCACATCCTTTATCAAATAATTTATCTTTATTATTCCCTCACATGCACAAATCAATATCATTAATACCAATTTTTATGGACATACCAAGATCATCACTAGCCTAAACTAGGTATTTATTCTATTAATAAATCATTTAGATGCTTTAACTGACCATTAAATAGGGCACTAATCACATTACCCAAGAAATTAGTTTCTATGATTGCTCTTATTTTTCTGATTGCGGACTAAGCCCGGCTCATATGACTGGGTAGACCCATAAAACTTTAAGGCCTTGTTTGGCCTATCCTAATTTTGCAAGGAAAAAACTCATTTTTCTTCCCTCAAAACATGTTTAGCAAACATGCCCTTAGCCCTAATCATGCATTTTTCTCCTTTGTATATCTGACCCATTGCCAAACAGACCCCAAAAGAATTTTAAAAAATCTAAAACATTCAAGGACCATTTAAAAGTTATTTGTAAATCACTCGCATGATTTTTCAACCATTACATTTAATATTTAGGTTGTAAATTTACACTGTAGATATTAACCCCATATTAAATATTTTTTTTAATTTTAGAAAGTACAAAAAAGTCCAAAATTCCATATTTAAAAAATACAAAAATACAATTTTATTTATGTGCATACGAACAAATTCTAAACTTTTGATTCATATTTTATTAAAAAAATAAAATTATATTTTTATCATACTTTGAAAAATACAAAACTCAATTAATATATCATCACAAGTTTGTGATTATCTATTAAGATTTGATCAAAATTTCAAAAACACCATAAAAATCAATTTATTTAATTAATATTTGGGATATAAATTTTAAAATGTAATGCATATTCCTGATATTAAATTAAATGAATTGAAAAAAAATAAAATGTTGAGAAATAATTGTAAAATTTTATATTTAAGTATAAAAAATTACTTTGTAAAATATATCCTCATGTATTAAAGATACAAAATTAAAATAAATACATTATTAAATGTTAGGCCTTGGAATGATGAAGTTTTAGCTTGATAACGCAAAGACCTCCTTACTAAAAGGAATATATTTTGAGTCCATGGGAATAGAGACCTCTTTGCTAAAAAGGATCTACCTTAAATCCATAATATATGGACTTCTTTAATAAGGAGAATTTTTTTAAATCTTAAAGAGATTAACAAAT